CCTCATATTCAAGTGTCGTGTCCGTATTCTTGGCTTTATGGGATTTACAAATATTAGTCCGCCCGGAGGCCGTCGTTAAATTCAAAATACCCTTGCTGTAGTCGGTGGGCTAGGATAGCTCCCCGGGACCGTTGCAGATCCATAATTCTGTAAATTTTGTGATTAGAGGAGTTGTCCGAAGGCCACTGCGCAGTCGGTCATTTACAATCCGAATACTCCAAGCGGGTGTAACATATACCTTGACTCCAGCGGAGTCTCTAACGGAGTCTATTTTGACGGGGAGTAATGAAGATCCCGGGTTAGCCTCATCTCCATCTCTGAAGGAGAATCATATATCGTATAAGATGACTTGGTGTCGTCCCAGGATTCTGACAGTTTCCGGAACATGACCAAGTCAAAAGCATCTGCGTAACTCGGAAAACACATTTTCATAAACACAGTAAAAATGGCAGGACTTACAACCGTCACCGCAGCTGTGGCGGCAGCCGCCCTCCTCCTCCGCCTCGTCTACAACTGGCTCATGCCCAAGCCCATCCCAGGCCTCCCGCACAACCAAGACTCGGCGCGTCGTATCTCGGGCGACGTCCCGTACTTTGCGGAATACGACAAGGCGGCGCGCTTCCGGACCAGGTTCTTCTACGACCTGGTGGCCAAGCACAAGTCGGCCGTCGTGCAGGTCCTCCTGCCCTTCTCCAAGCCCCTCGTCATCGTCGCCGACTATCGCGAGTCGAGGGATCTCATGGCGAAGCGGAGCAAGGAGCTCAGCCGTGGGTACATGAATAACGTGGCGTGGCAAGGGTTCTTGTCGGAGCACTTTATCGCCATGGAGGATGCGCACCCGTCGTTTAAGAAGTCGAGATTTCTTACCAAGGACTTGATGACGAATAGCTTCCTTCACTCTGTAAGATATTTCCCTCCCCATATTCTCATCTTCGTGTGCAATTTCGGTATAACGCATCCAAGGCATCCAAGTCAACGAATAATAATGTGCTCTTAGGTCTCTGCCCCGGCGTCGCACGTAGCCATCACTGACTTCATTCGTCTCTGGAAACGCAAGGCAGCTCTCGCACAGGGGCTGCCGTTCGAGACCGTCGAGGACTTGGAGGGCCTCACCTACGACATCATGATGACGGCCGTCTTTGGCGTCGGGTACGAGGAGAGTACGACAACAAAGTATTCCAAACTCCTCGAAGACGCTGATAAAGACGCCGTGATTCCAAGCGGTTCAGCCGCACAGGTTGCCAAGTTCCCGGCACCCGAAACCCCGGCTCTGGTGAAAGCTCTCCACGTCCTCAACGTCTCCATCACGGCGGTGTTTGGCTCGGTGTTCCCCAAGTTGTCCGTCTTCATCGAGAATCTGAAGCCCAAAGCACGCCGGGCCCTGAAGTTGAAGAAGGATGCAGTACAAGCCCAGATCGATGCCGCTGTCAAGAGAGCCGCCAAGGGTGGCTCGTCGGAGCACAAGTCGGCGGTAGACTACGTCGTCTCCCGCGAGAAGACAGCGGCCGTCGAGGAGGGACGGGAGCCAAAGTACGACGGCATGCAGCTGAACGACATGCTGTGGGGATACATCGCCGGCGGCCAGGACTCTACCCACAGCACCTTGTGCTTCACGGTGAAGTATCTCGGCGCGCACCAAGAGGCCCAGCAAAAGCTTCGAAGCGCCCTGCGATCCGCCTACACCGAGCCCTACGCTCAAAAGCGCGAACCCACCATTGAAGAGATCCTCAGGACGCAGGTCCCCTACCTAGACGCCTTCATCGAGGAAACGCTCCGCCTGTGCAGTCCCGCGGGCGCCATCACCAAGGAAACCGTCCGCGACATTAACGTCCTGGGCCGCATCATCCCAAAGGGCACGACGCTCATGTTCCTCCTGACCGGTCCGACCTTTGTCCAGCCAGGCGTCCCCGTCGACGACGCCAAACGCAGCGAGACCTCGCAAAAGGCCTCGGGCGAGGGCGTCGGCGACTGGTCCCACAGCGAGTTTACCGCCGAGGATTTCCGCCCCGAGCGGTGGCTGCAGGTCGAGGGCGAGGTGGTCAAGTTCAACAACAACGCGGGGCCGTTTATGAGTTTCAGCAGCGGGCCCAGGGGCTGCTGGGGGAAACGGCTGGCGTACCTGGAGCTGAGAATGATTGTGACGCTTTTGGTGTGGAACTTGGAGTTTTTGAAGTTGCCTGCCGAGCTGGAGGATCCTGGGTTGACTGAGGGGCTTTTCACGAAGCCCAAGTCTAGTATGATCAAGTTGAGAGTTATTTCGGATACGGAGTGAGTCTTGGGTTGAAAAGGGGGACTCGAGCTTGGGTTGTATTTCGAAGTGTCAAAACTGGTATTTTCGCTACCTTGAATTTCACATAATACAGTAAGTTTCAACTTCTAAGAAATAGGTGCAGGAGAAAGGAGACAGATTTACAACGCAAGAGGTAGGCCATCCCGAGGATTTGAAGACGTCGTTGTTTATTTGGTATTTGTTAAATAGCTACTTGACTCGGAAAGGTTTACCCTCTGTGCATGTTTCTATGCGCAACTACCCTTTGCCATTTACGGAGTACAAACACCTATGTATATACGACTAAAGTCTGCATTAGTACTCCTAATAGACCATTCATACGTCGCCTCGGAAGGTTTCCAAGAAATTGACAAGCCAGCAGATATCGTTGAAGCCAGAAACAAGTAGGCCTAGACAAAGTGGTAGCATACCAGTTCCACCGGTCCACTTTCTCTACACTAAGAGAAACCAGGCCAGCCAGCAAGAACATGCTGTGTACCGTAACTCCACGACTCGCGCTTCACAGGGTCAACCATAAAAAATAAATGAGCCGTGACATCAACACGGTCCTGAACGCTCTCACCCGTGAATGACACAACCAGAGAACCCTCAAAAAGAGGCAAAACATACAACACCAGGTATTCGCTGGTCGTCACCGACCCAACTACTAATCCGGCCCTCACTGGCTTATCTATGGGAGAGCGGACGGGATCCCGAGTTTTCCAGTGGGTATGGTCGTATGTGAAGGCTTCACTATGTCAAGTTGCATATGAAGTCTGTAATGGCGGGAAGATGGGGCTCTGCTCTCAACTTTCAACACCATATTCAATTTTTTCATTGGTATGCCGACTCGAGACTGTGAAAGTCATTGTAAACGTTGGTTTTCTCTTTTTAAAATTTTGGGGTTTGCATCTTGTGGTGTTGATTGCCAATGGCGAACATTGGTGTTGGTGTTTCGAACGATCTGCAACATCTCGCACCGGGCATCACGCTGACCTTACCTTAGACAGTGCCAATTAGCTGTGCTTTAAACCAAAGAATCGATTATTCGATAGTCCCGCTGCTTGAAGTATAGCAAATGAAACAAGCTAGTGAATGTTCTCATAATCTCAAATATTTCAAAACGCGGCGTCGACGAACGAACCGCAACACCGTCAAAGCCACACTTCACTAAGCAAAACCCAGCCCCCAAACCCGACCTCAACCAACCAGCGAAGCGCCATAACACCACGGGTTACCTTTTCTGGACAACCCAGCAACCACATATTCCTGGACAAAGGAGACTTTGAAGGATAAGGTAGTATAGTATGGCTGTTGTAACGGAAAAGCCAATGTTTATTTCCTAAGCTATCACAAGCCAGGGGGGAACGGTACCCGATGGCTCGTTCGTCCATCTCACCTAAGTAGGCACCTAGGGTACCTTCTTGCCTCCGTGTTGTTGTTAGTAAGGTAGTTCATCCGCCGCCCTTAACTTCACCATCGGCTGTCTCCACTTCCGTCCCCCGGTCTCCGCCTCCGCCTCCGGAGTCCCCTAACCATCACGCCGATGCAAATCTTCCGTGCTCACGGCTCCCCCACGCCGCCATGCACGTTTTTGCCTACCTACTCGCCCAAGATAGCGCGAGATGGTAGTCTGGTAGGCTTATCAAGTGAGAACAGACACAAACAAAACAGCCCCTCGAACCCTTCACCGACGGGCACTAGGCAGTAGTAGCTCGGCCCAAAAACGCCATCGAGGTTTGCGGTTCGTTCCATTGCTAGTAGTGTAGTACAAGCCCAGCCAGCCCACCAGCCACTAAAGGTAGACCGTAGGAGGCCGTGGACAGCAATGGCCACTCTATTTGTCCAAGAGTGCGAATACAGCCCAGGCCAAAATGGAATTATGTTCCCTCAGATTCACGCATTCAACCTCCCGCCGTCCAAGCCTCAATCGCTCGGTCCCTTAGATCCAAAACGAGCCTCGCACTTTGCACTCGAACTCGAAATTCCTTATCTCTGTCCATTAAACACGCATTCCTCAGACCTCGTCACCGCCCGACCGCTCAGATCTCCCTTCCCTCCTATTCCTAATCACCCGCCCGTTCACCCCGCGATTCTTTCCGATCAGATTCGTTTTGCCCCCCCGGACAAGCGGGCGTTTTCTTGGAGGGGGTGACCTGCCAGCCTAACCCCACCATTGCGTTCCCCGCCATCCGAGACATCCACACAGGACCACCACAGCAGCTTCGCTGGGCCCTTGGGATCGGTGAGGTGGGACAAGGGCGAACAGGTGAACGTTGAAGCCGCTAATACCAAGCATGTGGCCTTCAATCTCCGAGATAATATCGCAAAAGGACGACTGCAGGCGCGGAGCGGAGTGAAACAAAAGTGTCCAGATCCTTGCCAAGCGCTGTCGTCTGGCTAGAGGTGTCAAATGCGCGAATACGCATACGGTGATCGACGTCGAATAAAAAAAAAAAGAGGAACCTGCGGGGTGCATCCGCACCACGCGAGCTGGAGCTTTCACATGTCAAAAAAACAAAGGCTGCCAAACCCCGAGGAGCACCCCAAAGTCTGGACTGAGCGCTTTCCAACCCTTGCAGATTCTGGTGGTGCGTCAGTCGCCAGGGAGGAGCAAGAAGTTGAGATGGCAGATTAGCCCAACAGAAATAGGAGGGAGATGAAGGAGGGAAATCATTGAACCGACGACAGATTTGCAAGTAAGACGAAGTCTATTATATGTGAAATATGTTTTTTTTTGGTTTAATGAATAAAATTTGGGGGAAATAACAGTGTGAAGGGTATCAACTACAAGAGCCTTCCCTGATCAAATATAATAAATCTGGGTAAATCTGGTTCCGCAAGTAAATCATCGTAGCCTCCCGTGCGCGGCCCGCAACAAGGCTGGGATACTCCCGTAAATTACGTTCATAATCGTGCCCAACATATCCTGCCTTGCTTCCCCTGGGAATCTACCTTTTGATAACGAATCCCACATGCTGCAGGCATCTCTTCTCCTGCATCGTGATATAGCAAGCGCCCTCGTACCCGAGGAGGCAAGCGCTGGCGTCCTTCGGTTCGGTAATTCGAATTTTGTCCGGACGAGGAGCGGAGCTTATCAATGGTAAGGTATTTCCACTGATGATAGTGTTGTTCACATTGAGTCGTGATATCACCGCCCCACGAGGGCGCTTTCCTGGGCCCTGAGCTCGTCGTTGCCCTTCATTATCTCTTCAAGCCACTCGGCCGCCATAGTCAACATCGTGCTCTTGCTGAAGCCGCCTCCCTTGAGACCTGGCACAAGCTCGCAGAGGTCGTCGAAGCCTTCCTTGATCAAAGTACGGCGCTTTTGCTCGCTCTTGATGTGGTTTTCTCGTTTCTGTGCATCCGTGAGGTTCTCCCGTGCTGGTTTGGCCCCAGTCCCAGATTTACGCCTCCTGCCTGTGCCGTTTTCTGCTGGCGGGGTGGCTGACGTAGGTTCGGTCTTCGTCTTGCGTTTTCTTGCCGCCTTCATTGCGGTACCATTCTCTTCATCATCCTCGTCAACTTCCTCCTTCGTGCTCCTGCTCTTCCTCCTTTTTCTTGGCGGTGCATCAGCATCCTCTTCTTTTTTCAATACTTCGGATGACTTTCGGCTGTGACCTTTTCCTATTGCGTGCTCGCCATTCGGGCTTGGTGGGCGAGTATTATCTGTGCTTTGGCTTGGCTCCAAGCATTCCATGTACCTCAGCTGGCCTCGAGACAGAGCGTCGTAGGTTTCCTTAGGATCCGGAACAAAGCTGTTGGAGCGATTGAATCGAGCATCTGAGCCCCACTGTACATCGATATTGGGGACCTGGTTAGCCCGTTGCGAAGATACTCTCTCGCCAGGAGCGGGCCCGAAGAACATGTCCGCGAATGTGCTATCATGATCATCAACGAGACTGGCCTGAGCCACGCTGCCTCGTTCAGCACGCTTGAAGTCCTCCATAGGTTGGTGCCTTAGGTGGCCGACGGGTGGACCGAGAGAGTGCGGAACATCCCTGGTGCTGCTGAACATCGGCCCAGACCCATTTGTGTTTGTTCTTGACGAGGAACCGTTGTGCAGTAATGTGCTGGCGGCCTGAAGAACGTCGGCTGAGGCGTGCTGATCGAGGGTCGGGTGTGATTGCTGATGATGATGCTGCTGCGGCGGCGGTGGCGGCTGCTGCTGATGCTGCTGCTGCTGCTGCTGTGGGGGTGGGGGAGGAGGAGGCATCAGGTTTGAGCCCATGGACATCATGTCCGCAAAGTCGTTATGAGGCATACTATGCCCAGGGGAAGCAAGAGGCGGCGGTGCCGGCGACTGGCCAAAAGATGTTGCCGTCCCCATGAACTGGGGAGGTAGTTCCAACCAAGCATCGCTGAAGTTGAGTCCTTCGCCGAAAGAAGGCAGATTATAATGATCGGCAGTCATGTCCTCGAAGAAGGAACTGAGTAGTTTGGTTTCATTGTCGGAGAGAAGAGGAGCGCCAGGCGCAGGTTCGGGAGGGTCGAGGAAGAAGTCTTGCGAAGGATCAACGGCATCTAGAAAAGGTTGTGAGTATTTGACTTTGGTGGGAAATGGACGAGACGGTTTACTAACAGCCGAAGGGCAAATTGGGGTCTGACGGCTGCGTCGAACCCATCCTGGGACGATGTATGGCGAGCATGGGTGCGTCTTGTGGCAAATGGACGGTGACCGTCGAATACGCTGGTTCTGGTACTTGTTCGGAGAGCGAGGGACGTTGGTCGCGAAGGCCTCGAAGCGTAAGAAAGAGTGAGTGTAGTCGACTCGAACGAGGGCATGCGCATTCCTATGGGCAAACCGATATCCTATGAATCATTGACGGAAGGGCGGGACGTGTCTATCAGGAGCGCAATGTAGCGCAGCGCGTCTATACCAAAAGGCTCGTCCGGCTGGAAGAGAGCATACGGTAGAGCGGTCTCGAATGGGTTATCAGCCAGTCGCTTGATTGCCTTGTGATTTGGCGGGGTGGCGGATTGTAGTTGTGGCAGCAGTGACCGCTATGGTGTTGTTTGATAGGAGTCTGGAGAGGTTGGTGGGTGTATTTGCCGTCTTTAGGTGCGCGCTGTGGCAGAGCAGGAAGAGACCGAAGTAAAGGCTGGCCAGGTTACGTCGAGGCGGAGGTGGGGTGGTGGCTGCGCTTAGGCACCGCACCGGGCTTCTGGATTCCTAGTGCTAGAAGGATGTTCTCTTCGCCGTCGTCTCGTCCGATGAGCGGGGGGTGAGGGGAAAGAAGGAAGGATGGATGGATGGATGGCGATGATGAGCGTGAGGCAAAAGGCGGGACGGGTTCCGTGTAAGGTAAGGCGAGGCAAGGTGAGGTGAAGTGAAGTCGGGGAGGGCAAGCGGAGCTGGGGGCAGCGTGTGGGATGGCGGCAGAGTGGTGTACTAGAGCACGGCGTCAAGCAGTGCTACGTTCTCGATGGATGGTGAGATGGAGAGCTCTTAGTTGAAGAGCATCCAAGGTCTACCCCGTATGGCGGACGTTAATGCGGCCCATGCAGGGCTAAGAAGAAGGAAGAGACCCTTGAGACTTGTCGAACGGCACCTCAGAAGCAGAGTCTGGGTACGGAGTAGTCTCTAGACGTACGGTGTCGAGCCACGAGACGGCGAGGGTACGTGTGTTTGTCCAAGATGGGATGCGAGCGCGAGGCCCATTCGAAGCATTGGACTGCTTGTATTAAGGTAGTCAGACTCTGGACCAACGTGTACGAAGCTGAGGTGGTGCTTTGGCTTGATGTTGAGGTTGGCTCAACCGTGTACTTGCATATCTGAGAGAGCGCCAAAACGGATAGCGAGGAATAGCAACAGGTGAGGTGAAACGAACCCCCAATCAGTTCAGGGAGGTGGCCAGACGTAAGCTAAGGCAAGTAAGACAGATGAGAAGAGGAAGCGGACGTGGTCGAAGGCGTAGGACGCGGGCGTGAGGTGACGGACACGGTACTCTCTGGAAGGTACTGTACGGTGCAGCGAGAACGAGGGCTCAAGGACCCCGTGATTTTTTCAGTCGGGGAAAGTGAGTGACGAGCAGGAAATCAAGGACTCGAAAAGAATGAAAAGTCTGGGGCACCAAACAGCCAAAGTACGACCCCTGTTATTTGACCAGGGTGGTTGAGTGCTAGCCTGAAGTGTACATAGAAGAGAGAGGTCAGAGACTCTGACTCTCTGAGTACGAATGGTAAGGTAGTGAGGACTGAGGTAGAGGTGGAGGAACTTAGGAAGAGGGATCAGGGAGGGCAAAGTCGCAAGTTGCAGGGAGGGGTGGGGTGTGAGGTGTGGGTGGGTTGCCGGCACGGTCACCTGCATCGCGCGCTGCAAGCCTCCGCACTTACCTTAGTGGCAGCAGTCAACGGACAGTGGACAGGTTAGGCCGGCCGGCCAGCAGCAATGGAATTGGAAGTACGGAGTAGGTAGGTAGGCAGGGCTCGAGCCGGCCTAATTTTCCCATTGCTACCTTTGCCCAGTTTCTTACACTACGGATGAGGATGCCATGGATGGTCCTAAGATATCCCGTCCTACCTGCCCTGCCCTTCCCCCAACAACTAGAAAGGACGAAAGGCTGATTGGACAAGGCGCCGGATCTTGGATCGGAGCCATGCGGACATGAGACAAGCCGAGCCATATCGTTGAAACGGTGCGGTTGCGCTTACGCCTTACCTAAGCATTCACATTAGTGTACCACCTATGGAAGGTACCGGTAGAGGCTGAGGCACCTCTTTATGGCGGGCTCGGGTCACACGAATGGCGGTCAGCAGGTGGACCATCGAGGGATTAAATAAGTTTTGATTGGTTCGTGAAGCTCTTCTCAACCTTCTCGTTAGCTTGGTGCCTGACTGCTTAGCTGGGTGGGTCGATGCCAGTTTTCGATGCTAACAGGCTTATGTCCCTAGCGGGTCATCACATGCCAGCTCGGAGCTCCCCCTCTCACTTTCTGCTCTCAATTCTCTCTCATCCCCAATCTCCTTCCCCCCCCTCCCGCTGTCCAGCGCTGTCAGTCATCTTCACGTTCTCCCTGCCCCAGGAATTACCTTCCACTATTCCATTCTAGGCCTGGCCTGTCGATGTACTGTTGTACCTACCTGTATCCGTGCACTCGTGCTCCGCATCATCAACCTTCCTAAGCTTTTCCCAGCATTTTCACACACCTCACCGCGCTCACCTCATCTCAGTTTGGGGTAGCTTTGCAAAGAGGCTCCACGTTCGCACCCATTCGACATGCTTTGAAAGTTCCTCAGTTTTTGCTCTGCTTCGATATACCCTGTCTTATTCCCGTTGGCTCACAAGTCTGGCCTCATCGTTCGGCCAAATTCGTTGCTTCCATCTGTCGCCTGGAACCGCATCTGTAACACGTCTTCATCCCGTTTTGTGTCCTGAAGTCTCGGTATCTCAATGAACGCTGTCACATCGACACTTGCCGCACTGCCCGTTTGTTCTATCCATCCGGATGCCTCGTACATCAAATCCTTTGGGGTTTTGATGGCTGTCCACAAGTTCCTGCTAAGCACCTAAAGTAGCGCCGACAGATCCTACTAAGGCACCTCACAGACCTTGAACGGTTCTTGACACGGCGAGACAAAGGAAACAAACACAGCCTCGGTTGATACGAAACGGCTGGCTGTCCCAGCCTGTCTGTCCGTGGTATCCCACCAGCCAACCAGTCAACCATCAACCTCCTGTGTCCAACAGTCCACCGAGTATTCATCGTTCGAGAACTAGGAGCAAGCGCCGAGATTCTTGACGGACGGTCGATCGCACTGATCGAAATTCTCCACGCCCGAAGCGTTCCGCAACTCGCAAGGACAAGAGTTCTCAAGCAAGGCTAGCAAGGTATTCCCTGTCCAACGTCGTTTACCACTACCGAGCCAACGCAAAACGCCGTTCCCTTCAGGTTTTCCTCCAGACAGACTCCAGACTTTGATAGAAGTCTCTTCTTCTTCAGCACCGTCGCACTCGCATGGGTTGCCGCGCCTAAGCCCCATCTGGCTTGACTGAAGACCCAATCTTCACTCCCGTTTCTTCCTGGCCGCCAAGGTGAACCGTGAAGCTCACTTTCTCCGCGTGCCAGACCAGCTGATCGAAACACTTGATCCTGCAACCAATCATATTCGCCAATCTTGCTAGACGTGGCGGTAATCTGCGCTTCGGTCACGTTTGCCAGATCCGACCTCTCCTCTTATGCGTACCTACCGTACTCCGTACCTTTCTCCCTACCTTACCTTACTCTCGACCGTGCCGAGGAACCCAATTGTCACATTTCCTTCGGCCTCACCACTGACCTGCCCCTGGTCTCTATCTGCACCTACTGCACAACCTACGTCGCTCATCCTACCCCAGGCCCTCCATCGCGTCGTGGGTCGCACCATTACCCCACAATTTCTTATTCCATTCCCGTCCCCTTCGTCTCTTAACACGCAAGGTACGCGATACTTTTCGCTATTGAGCACAGCTCCAGCCCTGCCCTAGGCGCTGCGGGTTGGTGGTAGACTCTGGAGTAACGGCCATCACGAGCCTTCAGAAGAGCAAGTTGATCAATACTACCCCCTGGTAAGACGCGCCCACTAGTTCGCCATCTTCATTACGCGTTTTCCCGTTATCCTTCAAACGTCTTAGGACACCTACATGCCTAGACTGTTTCCCTGGAGCTTGTTTGATTGGCATCCGAGGTATATGGCCAGCTTCTAGTGAAGATGGGCCGGGCAATCCCGAACCTTGTTCCTCATAACCAAATACCTGTCATCGTCTGGTTGGTCTTCCAATTCTCGACATGATTCATACTCTCTAGCTGGTGCGGATGGCCAGTCCGCTTGCTGCTTCACTCCTCTATTACCTAACGTAACTCATGCCTTACCACGGTTCAGCTGTCGTTACGCCCCTCCCGATCATCACACTTTCGCCGGTCCTTCACCTTGTCTGCTTAGAGAAACGACCCATGTCTCCAGCCACATCCTTCGTTTCCCAAATCCCCTCTGCTGAACTCAGTTTGACGAGCAGCCTACCAATTCAAACCTCACGCCATTGTACGGTTACATCATAGCATGTCCGAATGTGCACAGACACATCGCTTCCGGCTCTTATGCGGATCGCTGATTCTCTGCTCAGGAACCGTTTCCAGTTCAACTACCGGCACTGACGCCGAAGCCTCATGGCTGCCGTCACACCTTCGCTTCCCGCAATGCTACCTCGGAGTCAGCTGCAAATTCGCCGGAATGGCCTTGTCGAGCTACAAGCAATTCCGCCAATCCTACGGCCCCTCCTTCGGGCCTACCTCCTAGGATATGCTTCCGCTGTTGCTCCGAGAGTCCTTACGTTGCTGATGCAATACCTTACCAAAAAACGCCGTCAAATTGCAAAGGAGAACGGGTGCATCGGGTTTATGGCGCAACTGAGGCGGATAGTCCTCGCCGGTCTAGACCCCCAACGGTTTCCAACCTTCTGTGCCTTGCTTGTTGGTGGCAGTACACTTTTAGAGGTATGTACATTTCTTTCAGCGTGAAATATCCAACACTTGTGATTCCCGAGACAAGGGCTGTGGTTGCTTCACTTGGACCCAAGTACTGTGAACGAGGCATCCAGAACACATGGTGATGGAGATCTCAGAGTTGCACTGGCTTCTCTCCTAGATGCACACAAGTTCTTGCCCCTTGCATTAGTTTCTGATAAGCAACGTTTGCAAGTTCAGGAAGGTGGCCTGGAGTTACAGTCACTGCAACTACAATAGTTTGCTAAATAGACCTGACACCTTCTGATAGGAGCCACTTCGACGTGTATTCGAACGCAATGCCAAAGGTCTCACAGAGGTGACTCGAACTAGGTGAGCGGGTTTCGATCCTTCATTCTCTTGTGGTTCACAGCCGTCTAGTACTGACACACATCTAGACTCGCAAGATGGAGCGCCACATTCATTGCTGCCTGGTTCAGTCTGCAGCTTTTGCAGTCCAAGAAGAGCTCGGCCTTTACAGGCACTTCCCCTGACAAATCTAATAGTCCGCCCGGAGCTCAGCTAAAGGAGACCCGGTATGGAGGACGGACTCTCGACTTGACGTTATTCACATTGACGAGAGCCCTGGACGTTCTTGTTGGCGAAGTTTGGGCACGTAGGCGAGCGCGTCGTGTAGCTCAAGGCAGTTGGACCAAGGTATGCACCAATCACTCATTTTGACGTTGTCCGTTATCATCGTCACTAACTTCGTACAGGCTGAATGGATCATCGGCAGGTTCACCGACCCTTGCTTGTTCGTCACTTCGTGTGCTCTCATCATGTGGGCATGGTTTTACCATCCCGAAAGGCTTCCCAGCGGCTACAACAAGTGGATCAGTTCGGCGGCAAATGTCGACATGCGGCTGATCGAGGCCCTCCAGAAGCTCCGTGCCAACGACATGTCCTACGGTAAAAGTGGACAGGCAGAATTGCTGCAGGGCATGTGTGAGAAATACGGATGGCCGAACGAATGGGGCGATCCGTCAAAGTCAATTCCCATCCCGTGCGAGATGGTGCACATGGGCTGCGGCCCATCGTGCGAGCTCCATGCCATCAGCCGCTTCTATCGGTCGTGGAAGTGGTCCATGGCCATGTATCTACCCCTGAGCGTTGCGCTTCTTCTGCGGGGGCCTATCAACAAGAAGACCGTCATGCGGACCTTGCTATCATCGTCGAGGTCGGCGGCATTTTTGGGAGCGTACATCACTTTGTTCTATTACGGCGTCTGTCTCGCCCGTACCAGAATCGGGCCTCACATCCTCGGCAAGGACCTGGCCGCGAGGCAAAGGATGGACTCGGGAATCTGCGTCCGCACGGGGTGCTGCCTTTGCGGCTGGAGCGTCCTCGTCGAGTCCGCCAGTCGTCGCAAGGATATGGCGCTGTTCGTCGCCCCGCGGGCCATGGCGACGCTGCTGCCGCGGCGGTACGGCATGGACAAGCAGTGGAGGGAGACGCTCGTCTTCGCCGCCAGCACGGCTGTTGTTTTCACTTGTATCCATGAGAACCAGGCCCGCGTACGCGGCGTGCTGGGCGGTGTATTGGGAATGGTTTTGCGCAATTAGAAAAGAGAGAGATTGTGTTTTTGGCTGGGGAGCACACGCATCTCAGCATCGGTTAGGGGTTTCCTTACACGGGGACAAAAAAACGAGTGTTTTGAATAGAGATACTAAAGATGGGTTAGATTCTGGGTACGCTTTTCATACTTGTACACTTTCTGTTACAATAATGAGGCTGGGGCGGAGTGAATGGGTTCTGGTGTTAGAGCGTTTGCTAGTTTGTTGTAGTAGAACAAGAAACGCGGAAAGATGCCATGGCATGCTTTCTGCTACTCAGTACATGCTAGTACTGTGATTCAGCGAGAGATGAGAAATTTAAATCAAGTGTGAGATATCCCTCGCGGACTTGACCCTGTAGTGCAGCTTCCCGCCGCCATGCCACTTCGTGCCCGTTTGCTGGTCTTCAAACTGACGCATTGGAATGGACTCGGGTACCACCAGCGACGGCCATCCAAGCACACCTTGGTTGATCTATCGCACAGCCATACTTAATCCTGTGTCGTGACCTATCGTATGATGAGAGTCTGATTTCTTTTTCTGCATATCATCCAATAGGTAATTCTCCGACAGTGTGATTTCGATGGTAGACTTTGCCTACAACACCCTCACTATCGATGCCATGTTCCGGCGATGCACACATAGGAGAGCCTATAAAATAATATCCAGCTATCCTATTGGATGCCACCTCCAAAACTATCTCGCGCTCGTAATTTGGTTTTGCACGTCGTGGAATACAACATCAAAGCTGCTATGAAAGCCCCGAAGGAGGGCGTTCCTTGTAGCAATTTCCTCATCAAGATGAGAGAAAAGTTCATTTCTAGAAAGATGACTTCGATTACACTGATCGACGAAGTGTTGCCACTTGAGGTGGCCGACTACCTTACTTATTTTTCTTAACTTTGTCCGGTGACACGGCATCGAAGGAAAGATATAAATGCGTCCCTACAATAGAGAAATGATAGACGCCCGAGCCGACCTATTTACGTAACTCGGTGAATTCATAGAAACGCGGGACCACCAAATATCATGGCCGGCGACCCTCCGCCTTCGGCCCGGAGTTGATTTGAGTTTCGGGGATACGCCTGTAGCGGGGCAATCCAGGGGTCAACTCCGGCGTCTCGGGGGCTTTGTCCTCCCACCGGTCGTTTACTTCGGTCTGAACCGTCGGCTTGGCGGTAACCCTTTTACCAGAATCCCCATCGTCTGTGAGAGAAGGAGTGGTGCCCGGGACCGATGACTTGCGGCGAACCTCTAGCATTTTCGTTGACGAGCTGCTTTTGTCGAAGAAATGCAGAGTACTGAAAGCCAACATATCCCAAGTCTTGACGGTTGGGAGCTCTCACCGCAACACACTCTTCAAAGAACCAATGGGCGTTGCCAACTGATATTAAACAGCAAAAGCTTGGTAAACAACGCTGCTACGTGGAACCGGAGGCTTCTCCGCCGAAATGGCACCCCCCTTCAACAAACATTACTCTCTTCTGCAGTTGTGCCAACCATTCTCCCTGTGGACAGCGTTACCATCCACGCTTGGCTTCTTTGTTCAAGGAGCCAGACAATCAATAACTTTCAGTGGCATCTTACCAGGATCAAATCACTCATATCAAAGGGAAGAAGAGACGAGAAAAGCAGACAAGGGCCAAGAGAGCCAACCAAGAACAGCGAAAACTCTAATATGCTCAGCCTTGCTTCCAAGATAAACAAAGTATCCACTTGCCAACAACAGCTTGTCAAACTCTTCCTATCGCAACTGATAAAGCAGGATCTCCGTCGTAACGTGCCCCTTTCCAGTGAAAGATAAATCAAGATGGATGTTCAGTCTATATTGGCAAGCTTTACTCCCCTTGCTTGCATCTCGTCCCGGCCCGGCCGTTCCCTCGGGACCGGAATGCTTCCAACCAAGTCCGGGACCTACAATAATTGGTGTTGATGGCCTGTGTCATTTGGTTGCGTTCGTGTCCACCCCGGGATATTCGTGATCATGACCAAGATTTCCGGTGGGATATTCATGTATATATGTTTGTTTATATAGCACCTGCTCTGAATGCTGAATCATGTTGAAGCAGCCAGCAATCCCTGTTCCTGAGGTTGCATTCTCGGACTTTTCATTCACTCTTTTATCTCTCTCTCCCGCTTTTGTTTCTTCATCGAGAAACTCCAATCTCGACCTCACATCTCACGCATCTCCCCCCTCCGACCTCAAGAGCAGATCTGAGCCGCGCTGCCAAAGATCACAAATCTCATAATGCGTCTCTCCCTCCTCGCCACCACGGCCTCAGCCGCCGCCGCCCTCATCGCAGGAACCACCCCCCACAGCACGCCCAACACCCGCAGCATCGCCGCAAACACAACCCTCCCCGTAACTTTTGGCGCAGTCCTCTTCCAGGCAATGGAGATGCTAGACCTCATCGGCCCCATCGACGCCCTCCAGCTCGTAGCCTACAACCGACACGTGAACCTCCACCTCATCGCCGCCACCCTCGACCCCGTCACCACGGCGCCCGTGTCCCCCAGCTCCAACACCTACAACTCGTCCTGGTGGCCGACGTTCCAGCCCACCAACACCTTTGACGACGACCTGGACCTCGACGTGCTCATCCTGCCCGGCGGACCGGGCGTGCGGGCCCCCGGGCTGGAGCCGATTGTCGAGTACGTGAGGAAGCACGCGCCCAGGGTCAAGTGTCTCGTTACGATTTGCACGGGGGCCAGTCTCGCTGCTAGGGCGGGCGCGCTGGACGGCAGGAGGGTCACGACGAATAAAGCGGCTTGGGGGTTGATCACTGCGCAGGCGCCGCTGGCGAAGTGGGTTTCGCCGGCGAGGTATGTTGTTGATGGGAACGTCTGGACTTCTTCGGGTGTAAGTTTACTTTTTGGTGTTTTACTATTTGACCCCTTTTTTGCGAGAGAAAAGTGGGAGAGTGCGTGTGAAGGAATCGAGAAGAATTGTACTGATTGATGCGTGGGTTAGGTTACATCTGGTCTGGACTTGATTATGGAGTTCATCAAGCAGGTGTATGGCGAGGAGTTGTCAACCAAGGTTGCCACAATCATGGAGTTTGTCCCCCATGCTGCTGACTGGGATCCCTTTGCGGAAATCAACGGCGTCGAGCCGACGAACAATTGACAGTCTTGGGCAGAGACCATTAGAGAGGAAGATAGGAGACAGCAGCTTGGAGCGCGGTTCCATTTTCAGCTTCGGCATGACAGAGGGCATAGCAGCGGTGCAACCTGATTCTATTCTCAGTACAAAGTCAGCTTGTTTGACATTGAGTTGGCATAGAGGGTCCGTTCTATGCTGATCCGTCGTCCTTGATAGAAAGTATCGTGTCCAAATAAGCTAGTTGGTGGAGAGCGAAAATCATTCACCCTCCTCTCGACTGCTTAGATGACATGAAGGCTTCGAACGTTTTGAGAAAGCACTTTACCTGGAAGCACTGACAGTTTGAGCGAGTGAATACCGTAGCAGGAAAGACCTGGGAATGCCTCGATTTGAGCTGAACCGCATCGACCACTGGAAGTCACTTACATCGTCCCATTGCTTGATGAAGTAGGCGGAGTTGAACATGCGTTAACCGAGGCAAGAAAGTGACACCGTTAGCAGACTTGTTCCTGGTACCATTCTCATCAAGTTCGGGGCATGACCCTCCTGATGATTGATGGACATTGCCGAGATGTAAGCTAAACAAGCGCCGTGAATGATCAAGGCCGAAACTCCCATAAGAAAAGCATGGCACGCCTAGGTAGTTGACCACCATATGTTGGCAACAGTGGTCTCATTGATGCTTGAGAAATACACAACGCGCAAGAGCTAGATTCGTATGGAGGCTCAGAGAAAGCTCGGGATGAGTCGCCAACAGAAATGTGAATGTCGGTGTGTCCACTCAGAAGACCTTTATGACGAAGACAGGGCCGCCACTACCATCATGTTTGTCCGTTCCCCAGAAGTACACATAGGCTTGAGTGAAACCGTGGCTCATCTATGATAGGTAGATGTAGGAGCTATCAGAGATTCTTCAAGACTTGTAGACTTTGATATCTTGCAGTCAAGTCGATGGAGGGTCGATGCCAGAGGTAATAAGACGGGAAGGCGGGCAGAGGATGCTTGTATTCTACTCCGATGAGATGAACTTTCATACTCAAACATCCAAGAAAATAAGTTCAGATAGTCAGTGAGCCTGTTGAGCTGCGAAATGTTCTCCTACTGCGATCCTCCGATGAAAGTCGACGGACCACTAACGCCAGAGATGGCGCCCATCAAGGTTGCATATCAAGTACTGGATAGCAAGCACGTTCGCGCTTGCAAACATGTCTTCATAGCACCCATATATGCTCTACGGCAAGTTGTTGAATGAGACATAATTCGAGGAAAAGAAACCGAGCTGCCATGGTATGCGCGAGACGGTTGCCTCAGTCCTATTGATGCACTTGCGTTCGAGGCCCACGGCCTCCCAAGGATTCGTGGGGGACGCGTGGGGGACCACTCTGCATAATTTGAGATGACAATCATTATGGAAATCGAAGCGTTAGTTCTACACAACGGCATAAGCCAAATGCGCGGCATTAATCGTGCACCAGCCCACTATGTCGAGCTTGGACCAACTTATGCCAGGTACCTAAGTCAACGTCAAAGTCAAGCCCTGCACAATTGCCGGTGGGGTTTGCGTCTCGGTGTAAGTCACCGCCCACCTAGGCACAAAGAATGCTCACCGAAACTGGATATTTCGAGAAGACATAACCGAGAAATGCCGTTTGGCCTGTCACGCTTTCTTATAGAAGAGACAACTGGTCTCGTACTTGACTCCGGTATCCCGTGACCATACGGGACAAGCATATAGCCACATTCCGAGTCTTGCCCCCCAGACAAGGATGAACACTCTGCCGGCAACTCGAGCTTCAACTTCACGATATCTCACGAATACCGTCATCCGGAACATTTTCATAGACAGCTGATCCGGGCGCGTTAGGCGCCATAGAAGAACCCACAGACTATGCGAGTCCAGAGGTCTATGGCGAATCACCTACACCAAATATTTCCGGCTGCCCGACTTACACGCGCCCGCATCGTACAAACGGGCTGCCAAGTGTACCCCACTGGGCGTTAGATACGAACCCCTGGGCTCATGAAGAATCTCAGAGGCTAGTGTAAAGTCGCTGCTAGATGAGACGAGGTTCCAGATCCCCAGGCACGAGGTGCTGTACCCCGGCTCGGCAAAGTATAGCTTAATGTACGGCATCGGGGCAGGTAATCGGGAGGAACCGGAGCGGAAATCTGGGGTAGCTCGGGTCGAACCTCGACGAGAGAGACGCATCATTCCGGGGGCGGCTGGCGGCAAACGGGGCCTGTAGGAAAGCTCGGTTCTTGCAAGGCCGCCACTTTGCTGCCGTGGTCCATGTAAGTCTCGTGTACCCAGTCAAAGGTGGACTTGGGAAGGGAGGGAACGGGAACGGCGAGTACAGTACGTAGTCGTGATGATGTGGGCTTGCGGATGGGACGAGCGTCAACGACATCGTCCTAGCCACAAGGCTGATGACACGGCTGTCATTCCGTCAATTCGTAGGGCGGATTTGAGGCCTTAGGCACACTGGCACAGCAGTCCCATGATCTGACAATATCTAGTCGTCAGATTTTAGGAACCCCTTATCAGACCGAAATGAGATGTGCTGAATAATTTGGCCGAGAGATAGCTTGTCCATGTTGATTTAGACCGTAGTACGGCCAGAAGCTCATCCGGGGGGCTGGTGTCGTACGGTGTTGGTAGCGGATGGATGAGTGACGGTAGAGTCATATCATGCTGAGTCGATCGATGTTTGGACCATACAAAATGATCCAACTGGCAAACCTGGGCCCTGTCGGGCGTCTGGCGATACGATACGGCCATGCAGGCCTCCGTGGGCAGCGGTAAACACATAGGCCGCGGCATTGACGTTTGCGGGTATCCTCGGTAGGGATATCGTCATTCCCGATGTCATCGGAAGTTGAGAGGTGTTATAGGCGAAGCCAGGAGCATTTGGGGCCGACGAAGCCGTGATGCTCCGGCGTGTCGGGCCAGCCGGGCTCGCTTGGTAGCTCATTGGGTTGGGTGAGTCGAGAGGCAGATCTCGGGCCCCACCAAGCGCCGGAACGCACCAGCCCTGTTTTGATGGACCGACTTTGCATTGGAAGCGGCCGGCCAAGATTGTGAGTGGCAGAATTGGGTGGCGTGTACATTTGGCATCAGTCATGGGTGGATTGACGGATGGGTGGATGGCATTCGTAGGCGAAGTATCGGTACAAGTTCTCCAATTGAATTCGAAGGGTTTGGACGAGCATGGATGCCTTTCTTTGCACGCAATCCGTTTTCTGCGACTCCAATGACTCCTATGCTCCAACACGGACGACGGAGCCAAAAATGGTGCGGTCTATCTGGGGGTGACCGAGAACGGAGTCGTAAACGGGCCTTCTCGATCATCATATTTCTCTAAGCTAAAATCGGTCGAGTCGAGGCTGGAAGTGCCTCATGCACCAGGCAACGTGTTTCATTAGCTGGGCTCAGTCGAGCTTGGCGGGTTGAGCGATGGAGCATTGAGTGATTTATGGAGCTGGGGTCTGTTTTTTTTTTGTTCCATATCTAGAGGTAAGGTAAGCTGAGCTAGACTCTTGAGTAAGCAAGTGCGGTGGAAGCGAGCGGACCATATGGTACATACTTCAGGGTCGTGTAGGACTAGAGGGGATGGGAGGCGGAGGAGGGGGGGCCGTGGGAGCTTTGGCGCGGGATGAATGGTGAGGTGTGCGAATGAGCTGTTTGAAGCTTGTGGCATGTTGTGTCTTGCATCCAGTCGAGGATGTTTAATAATAACAAGAATCCACCAAAATAAACTGGAACGGTGAGAAGATCACATAAAAAAAGACGCCCGAGAATTTGGCGTGGACCACGGTGCCACGGCGCCACGGGCAGATGTTGCATGGAGGTGGCAGTGGCAGTGTGTGTGAGGTGTGAGAGCGAGCAAAGCGTGCAAAGCGTGCAACGGAAGGCAAATGTGAGGTGAGTTGACGGGGGTATCGGACCTGATGCTGCTGCTTGACCGGGGGGTAGCTGCGAGAGTGATGTAACGAGGGGCAGGCCAGCAATGAGGAGCAGGGGCCAGGGATAAGGTGCCGTAGCTGACTTTTTTTTTCTCGCTGGAAACCAAGGGAAAAAGCTGCCCCTCCATGCCCCTCCATACCTGACAATTCCTGACCCTTGATAATGCCTGCTCTTGCTCGAGTCGTTGATCGGTCCGGTCTGTCTGGTGAAAGTGACACCACCAGACAAGACCCGCTGAAGAAATGGATATGGGTGAGCTGAGAGTGTTGCTGGAATGGAAAGAAAACAAGTTATTGATGAGTAGTCTATCATGAGATGCCCGAGATACGGGCAAGATGCAAGATGAAGGCTGGAGCACAGACAAAGTTGAGGTGTCAAAAAAAAGTAGTGAGAAGGACGGGGGGGATATCGAACGCCACGACAGACCCGTCAAACAATGCAGCCTGCGCCTGCATCCCATCCGAGCTTGGGGTATCTCTTCCATGGGATGGCAAGCCGCAAGACGGACTGTGAATGCTATGCACCTCAGGTAAGGTAAATTGGATTGGTAAAACAACAACGCATCGCATCCCACCATGATTGTGTTCCAATCCCATCATAGCAATTGGTCCAGAAAACTATCAAGTACCCGGAGGGTATCATACTAACGCCACAAGCGGTAGCAGCGCCTTCCCGCTGGATGCCCCGCCATGTCCGTAAAAAGACGCAACTGGCACCTGCTTGAACTGAGTGGGTGAGAGGCAACGAGATGCATCAGTAAGGTAGGTACTCAGAATGAGGAGGAAGGAGAATTATTGGAGAGATATGGAGAGAGAAAGAGAGAGGTACGGAGTACGAGACACGCGTTACGGGGGGGAGCTCTAGCCCGGTCAAGCACAAAGTAAGGTAAGGTACCTCCCACCTCAGCTCAGATAGCAGAAAAAGTGTGTCACTCACCCAATTCCCTGGCGTCGACCGGGCAATCACCACCATTTCACCACCCTCAATCGCCGAGTCACCTCACCGTTCTCGGGGCGTCTGGATCCCCCCATTGGACCCCCTGCGGAGTGGCCGTACCTGGTACTTCCCTAACTTGCGTCAGGTCCGCCTTCCATTGACCTCCCACTCCCACTCTTGCCTGCTTCTTGCCTGCTCTTGCCATGGCCGCCGGTCTTGCGTTGGATCGACCAACAGGAGGACCACCCCACCATCTTCCCTCAACCGAATTTACTATATCTCGCGCGCCCTTCCACCACCTCCCATCTCTTTCGTCCCTTCCTCCTTCCTTCTTCTGCCATTGAAAATTCTCTCCTACACATCAATCCATCTCTGACCTCGTCGAACAATCCGACGTGATCCCATTTGAAGGTAAGACCTAGCTCTTGATAGCTCCCTCAAGCTCTACATACCTCACGTCTTCATCACCCCACCCCGCTACCGCGAAAAATACCCCGCCTACCTTGGACACGTCGGAAACGCCCGTCCTTCACCAACGCCTGAAGAAACTCAACTAACTCTCTCAACCGTCAGACATACTCTAAACACAAACCACATCAGACAACATGGCTCCCATCAAGGTCGGCATCAACGGCTTCGGTCGTATCGGACGTATCGTCTTCCGCAACGCCGTCGAGCACCCCGAGGTCGAGATCGTTGCCGTCAACGACCCTTTCATTGAGACCAAGTACGCTGTGAGTATCACCCCACTTTACCCCTCTATCATGATATCACGTCTGCCACGATAACACCAGCTTCGTCGATATCCACGGGAAAAGAGTCGGAGCTAGCACTCTCGATTCTTTTGCCCCAAGGTTTCGATTGGGCTTGTTGTAACGACACGACGTGACCCAATCATGCAGAAACAGCCGAGACAAAATTTGCTGACAGACAATCCATCACAGGCCTACATGCTCAAGTACGACTCCACCCACGGCATCTTCAACGGCGACATCCAGCAGGATGGCAACGACCTTGTCATCAACGGCAAGAAGGTCAAGTTCTACACTGAGCGTGACCCCGCTGCCATCCCCTGGAAGGACACCGGCGCCGACTACGTCGTCGAGTCCACTGGTGTCTTCACCACCATCGACAAGGCGAAGGCCCATCTTCAGGGCGGTGCCAAGAAGGTCGTCATCTCTGCTCCCTCTGCTGATGCCCCCATGTACGTGATGGGTGTCAACGAGAAGACCTACGACGGCAGCGCCGACGTTATCTCCAACGCTTCTTGCACCACCAACTGCTTGGCTCCCCTCGCCAAGGTCATCAACGACAAGTTCACCATCATTGAGGGTCTCATGACCACCGTCCACTCCTACACTGCCACCCAGAAGACCGTTGACGGTCCCTCCGCCAAGGACTGGCGTGGTGGCCGCACCGCTGCTCAGAACATCATTCCCAGCAGCACTGGTGCCGCCAAGGCTGTCGGCAAGGTCATTCCTGAGCTCAACGGCAAGCTCACTGGCATGTCCATGCGTGTCCCCACCGCCAACGTCTCCGTCGTTGACCTGACTGCCCGTATCGAGAAGGGCGCCAGCTACGACCAGATCAAGGCCGCCATCAAGGAGGCTGCTGAGGGTCCCCTCAAGGGTAAGCTATTAAACTCAACTCATCAGAATCACTGAAACACAAGCTAACTATCTCTAGGCGTCTTGGCCTACACTGAGGACGACGTCGTCTCCACCGACATGATCGGCAACCCCAACTCCTCCATCTTCGATGCCAAGGCCGGTATCTCCCTCAACGACAACTTCGTCAAGCTCGTCTCCTGGTACGACAACGAGTGGGGATACTCCCGCCGTGTCCTCGACCTCTTGGCCCACGTTGCCAAGGTTGACGCCTCCAAATAAATGTGCGGTACACATGAGGCTGTCGCGGAGGGGAAATAGGACCAAAAGTGTCCATTAATGAGATGATAAACCAACGACCAAACAAAAGCAGTAAAATGAAGATGGGCAAGTCTTTCAGGAAGGAGGGCCGAAAAGGCCAGGGAGGATTATGGTTGTTTCTTTCCTACAAACAAACGCTCCCAGAATACATGTCCGTATGACGTCTATGAAATAGATTATGCCTACCCATCACAGTCCATGCCAATGCCAAGTGACCAGAGTGTAACTCGAATATTTGATTCTTCAATCAGCGATCAGATCATGTCGTGGATACGTGTAGTTGACATGGCATATTTTGTGTCAGATCATGTATGAGGTCTATCTACCTATGCGAGCTACCTTGTAGGTATGAGATGTGACAACCCTTTTGAGTTGTGAGGGGTTGCCAGTGCGGGGTCGCTCCACGTCCGCGTCTGGTAACTTGGTTTCCCCCTTCCTCGCGTCGCCGCTTCCACCAAGGTCCTCAAAGAAGGGTGTGCTTCTTACTATCATGTCACAGCATCGCAGGGCTTTTGTTTGAGTTGGTATTGATATTGATTCCTCTTTTGAATTGAGCCTTTGGTATAAGGAATCCTCGACTGGGGTACCACCACTCCCATTTTGCAATTGAGACGACGCCGTTCGCTTCGTGCTACCCTCCCTCCATGCCCTGGATAAACCAAGCCTTTGCCTTTCCACTTTCCACAACACATCAAGCCCGAAAGATACGCAAGGGGGGAAAGCCGGCCGAGGGATATCTTCTTCTTTTATATGTACACACACGCATAAAGAGCCCGTAGACACACGGAGTCCTGATTTATCCCCCTTGAACGCCAAGCTAGAGAAAGAAAAGAGAGAGAAGAGAAAGGAAAAGGCCGTCGAGTTGGACTTGATATCAGACAAAGTGAAGAAAAGTGTGCGTGCTCGCTTCAAGAGACTCAGGGTGACTGTGTTTTTTCATACATGATGGGTTTACTGCCCATACTTTCTCGACCGAAAACGCCATTCTCGCCACAACCCAGCCTCCGACCCCGTCATCCGTCGAAAGGGGTAGGGGGTTGGAAAAAAGGACGAAAGTTGACTTGGTTCATAATACATGTCATTAGGAGGGCCCTAATGCCCGTATCCTTATGTCTGTGGGTGTACCGAATCGCTCGCGGCGCTCTCGTCACGCGGAGGTGACGAGCTCTCCGCCGTAGTAAAGGAGGAATCGACCAGAGTCGACACCTCGCCCTCGTCGTCGACATCCTATGACAACGTTCCGTTGGCGGCTGATACCGTGACCTCGGCGCGCCACGAGACGCCCTCCTCCTGCGCCCAGCGCCGCATAATCTTGAGAGCCGATGATACGGCTTCCTCCACACTCGTCCACGGGCCCATGTTGGTGCGCATAGCCGAGGCTTCAACACGCTCCGCCGAGTCGTATGCCGATTTCCATACATTTGATCGACCTCTTTCTGCGCCAATAATGTGCAATGCGTGCGTCGCCGGGTCAAGAGACCAGTAGCACTTGATGAGCTCCTCGTGGATCACGCCTTGCATCTGCCAAAACAGTGCTTCCAAAGGCTTGCTCTTTCGTACATCGTTGCGCATGACATTCAGAAGCGGTAGAATGCTACTCCACTGCTTAGGATCTTGTGCCTTGTTTTCTATCCGCCTTGACTCGAACAACGCTCTGAAGCTGACCATGAACGCCATCGCCGTCTCCAATCCGAGCATCATGCTAAGCTTGATGTCAGAGTCCGACACGGGAGCGCCGCGGTCCCCGTGCTTTCGCTCTAGCAATATGTCGCGCTCATGCTTCAGCTTGGTGCCGAGTCTGCTAAAACGGTTCCAGCGGTCGCGGAGCGCTTGGACCCTGTGAGGATTCGCCGCTTCTCTGCTATCGTCTCTGGTCTGCGGCCGGTCTCGGTCTGATGATGGCGGCGCGGGAGTCAGGCTGTGACCATCTCCAGGGGTGTTGACCGAGTTGCTTGACGCTACCCTCGGCATCGATGTAGCACCCCCCTTCGATGGTGTTGACGGCGCGTTCAGCTTGGAGCTCGTGATTTCCGACGTCCGAGGTCGCTTCACCGCTATTGAATCGCCAACATTCTCGGTGCTGGTAATCGGTCGCTTCCGTGCCTGCGGCGGCGGAGGCTCTATGCTCGCTGACCGCTCCTTCTTGATGTCTTTCCTTGGGGGTCCCAGGGCTAGTAGCCTCTGCACCGACTTGGTGTACTTTTTGCTGTACTTCAGTGTCACCATAAACCTGCGAGGCTTTTCCTTCGGCTTGTCCTTCCCTCTGATCTCCTTTCGGTCGTCCTCCTCCTCCTTCACTACCACGTGTGGTCTCTTGCCGTTTGTGGGGGAATCGGGAGGTTGTGTTCTTTGGCTTGCGTCGGAGCCTTTCGTAGGTGTGTTCTTCATGCGGGCCAATTCCTCCTCGAGCAATGGGGGAAGTGTCGGGGAAAGTAGCTCCGGAAGTTTCAAGGGAGATTTCGGTCTCTTGATAGGCGGAGGTGGTTCTGCTCGTGAGGATTTCTGCGACCTATTGTGCTCGGGAGGATCGTCTCGCCTCTTCTCTTTCGATCGAGAATCGGATTCGTTCGGTAGGTGTAGTGGAGATAGTAACGGCGGAACTGCTGACCTCGAAGACGCCGTATCAGCTCTTGCCCGACCGCTCGAAGAGGGGCTGGGTTTGTTGCCATTGATAGAGTCTCCTCGCGCACGGGATATGGGAGACTTGTTCGCGCCTGAGCCAAAGGCTGTTTTTAAAGCAGACCGCCCGTTTGGTAATGAAGATGAGTTTGTGCCCAGCTTTCCGTCTTTCTGTGGTGTCCTGTCTTGTGATGGGTGTATCTCTTTTCTTCTCGGCGTATCGTCTCGAGGCGTCCGCGATCGCTCGTCGAGCGGTGTGCTCGCTTCGGGTCTCGCTCGTTTCTGAGGTCGCAATTCGCCGTCCACATCCGCGATTCTTTTCCTCTTCTCTGGGGTATCATTGCTATCCTGCGCTGCTCGGGATCTTGCGTCGGGTCTGCTCGTTCTAGAATGGGTCAGTCAGCCTCTAGACGTAGAGTGCATTGGAGGAGACGGGCGTGAGGGTTTACCTTTCATCGTGGGCGCCGTCGCGCGCCTTATGCGCCTTGACGTCCCTTGATGCATCCGGCTCCCGGTTTCTGTATGCGTCCGGCCTCTTGGGCTCGCGATCAATCCGACCCTCTACCACGTTCCTCTCCTTTCGCGAGACGTCGGTTTTCGGCGTCGATCCGGAATCGGGAGGAGAATCCGATACCTTCTTCTGTTTGTTCTTGTAATCACTCAGTGACAGCTTAGTCACGTTCTTTCTTTCCATCTTCGCGTTCGAATCTTTGACGGCGGGTGGGATCGGTGGTTCTTCGCGCATATCATGGTACGCGCGAGTGAGTAGCATTCCGCGATCCGCGTCGGATAACAGCGTCATGTACTGCAGAGCCGGATACTTGAACTCTTCAAAGGTCTTGCTGTGATCGGGAGGAACTCGAAAGCGCTGGTCGGGGTTCATGGACAGTGAATGCGGTCGATCAGGCAGGATGCGCTGGGCCAGCAGTTGGACCTTTTTCGCCGCTGCTTCCATGGTTTGGTGGTGTTTGCATGCCGTGGGGGCATGTAGAAACAAGGGTCGCAAAATGCGCGGTCGGGAGCGCAAGACAAGAGGGCAGAATGGCGCGGTGAGATGGTGGTGGATGGATTGTGGTTGGATAGCGAGTGTCGGGATTGAGGTTAAACAACAAAGACCCGCGATGGTTGGCAGGCGATGCGAGATCGATGGGTGACGCAGGGGGTGGAATGGGCGCCGGAGTAGAGCACAAAGCTCTCTCCGCAGCCCACGAATGTATTGATCTGAGCCGGCGGCAATGTGCGCCGACAATTAGGCAAGCTAGTGTTGTTGACTCGGTTTGGGCGCCGATGAGGATATGTCGTGATAGCGTGACGTGGGTGTGCGATGCCGCCCTTATCTGGGGCTACCTATGTTGATGAGGCGGTCGGGGTTGGGGTGTTTTTTTGAGAGGAACCGAGAGACACGCGAGCAGATGGCGTCAATGAAGCTCTGAGCGATGGATGCGATGTTGGTATGATGCGACGATGGCGATCGCGACGTGGGTTATGCGTTGAGCGAGATTGCTGTTGTGCTCGGAGAGTTCGTGCGGTAGTGGTGGTGGTGGTGGTGGCAGTCGGGGTCGTGACCGTGGTCGTAGTCGTGGCAGTTGTGTATGCAATTGCAGCGTCCGAACATCAACCCTTGCAGCAGCTGGAGCGGGAGGTCAGAGGAGCCGCAGCGCATTTCCCGACGTGGCGTGCTGCTGGGGGGGATGATTTGATGGGTTGGGATGGGATGCGAAGCGAAAGGAAGCGAAGCCAAGCCAAGCTCACTGGTAGCGACGCGGCGCTCAAAGGTGAGGTGCAGCTGCGTCAATCGAAGACGCGAGTTGAGGTGAGGTTCGGGTCGGTGCGATGAAGTGTAAGAGCGTCGCCCCTAGCAGAGCAGAGGGAGCAACCTGTGCTTCACAGTGAGGTAAGGTAAGGTAAGGTAGGTAAGGAAGGTAAGCAAGCAGTTGACACCTCAGTTGCAACCTGCGCCGGATCCAGACGGGGTTGAGGACGGGACGACGTGCCGCAGGTCGATGATACGGGGTGGAACAAGGGTCAAGGTAGGAAGATGGTGTTGGAAAGGGTCGAGGTCGCGGGTCTTTTGGAGAGACGGTGGACGGGACCTCGCGAGTAGTGTAGATTTTGGACGTGGATGGGAGGTCCAGGACATTGCCCACTGTACCTTACCTCTAGCGTGGAGTCTTGTAGCTGGCAGGCACTGGACCTCACCTCACCTCACCTCAGTGCTCAGCTTACACTGAGTGAATGGACTGGGTGGGGGGACTGGCACAGGTACCTTACTGGACTGCCCAGGTGGATGGTGCAAAGGGGGGTGGGAGGGGAGAAAAAGGTGGATGCCGAGCCTGACCTGGTAGTGTACTTCCACCGGTGTGCGCCCAGTTGGATGGATGGATGGATGGATGGGTTAAGCCTTCATCTCAGGTACCTTATGTGCTTAGGTACCTCACATTCACCGTATGGCGTAGCTCTGTAGGTACGACAGGCAACCTAACATGGAAGGCACTCACAAGTGGGATGGAGGTCAGAAGCACGGCAATTCAGGTAAAGACACACTCTAGCAGGGAAGGAAATAGGCAGGATTGGCAAAGAAGGCAAGCAAGGTAAAGAGACACGCGCTATCTCGCGGCGAATTCAGGCCAATGACGGGCCCGGATGGCAACCGCTGGACGCAGATGATGCGAGACGGCATCTGGGGTGGTGGTGTCCAGTGCGCCAACCAGGACAGGAATTGAAAGTGCGACATTCTGGCGATCTGGTTTACCCTCACAGATACCTTACTTTACGGAGTACCTTACCATGCTTACCTACGTGCCTACCCTTACCTCACCTAGGTGAACCGTGAATACCCCCGCCGGGGAATTGGGTACGGCGCGTGCTTACTCAATGCTCACTTTCTGAGGGAACGGGATCCCAACTTGAGGCTTGAGCCAACATCCGCACCCACCCAGTTGCGCGGGACGAAATACGAACCTTCCTTAGTTCTAAACTTCTAATACCCTAATAAAGGGCTGGAATGATCTGGTCAGGTACCCGTGCCATTCAACTTCCTATGCTTATGTCATCAAGCCTTGAGTCTATGGCGCTACGCAGCAGGAACAATGGGCGTCTGCCTGCCCTGTGGCCCGCCTTCCATCTCAAGCGGGACCACTTGCTGGCGGACTCAGCAGTGGGAATCTCGACCACCTACCTTATGTCGCAACCTAAGCCTATCTAAGGTGCTCACGTAGCTCTGAGGCGCCGCGCTTATCCAACGTGCCTCTATCTTTCACGGCAAGGTGGAGGGCTACCTAGGCTGGGCCGGAGAAAAAGTCCGACAAGTTCTTGTGGTTCAACTTATTGTGACCTCCACTCGGGGAAGCCAATTTGTCGCGATTTGGGGCATGCATTGTCTTGTCAACTTGTTTGTTTCGCCGTTTCACCAAGCTGCAGGTGTCTACGAAGACTGCCGACCTTTATATAAGTGTACCTTGCTCATCGAGTAGACAATGTGCTTCGTTGTGGCTTTGCCCGGATCATTCTACACCCGGGAGCCCACGCATTCTTAGTATAAGCGGTTTAGAATTTCTTAACAAAGACAACCTAGCGCCGCCACACAGAACGGGTTTCCAACAGAGGCGTTCACCCTGTTGACAGATATTGCATCATCACAGCGGTTAATATAACAACCCAAGTAGTTGCAATATAGGCATCTGCCATTGGCGTACCTAGTCTCTATCTAATCTGGAGACGTTTCTCTAGGCAAGTTACCAAAGCTTGGTTGTTAGCCGAAGATGAGGTAGGCCACTACTTATGAAGGTAGCTCTCTTCTGTCCATGCGAAGAGTACAACCTTGGTATCGTAACAGGATCCATTGCGCCGCCTTCCCTGGTATCTTGCTGAACTCAAAATGCGTGATGCATCAACTCCCTTTCTGTCTCCTCAGTGCCCTCCATTGGTCACTGCTAGCGGCCCATACTGAGAGCTCAGTCTCCGTTTCTTATTCGCAGGCTCATCGTTCAACGTCACCTGCCTCTCCAAGAAGAGCAGTCTCTGCTCGTAGGCTGCCACCTGCCTGGCCATCTGATCGATTTTGGGTCCAACTGCGGCTTCCGTTGGATGGTATCTGTCAATGTGCTGCAGAATGGCCTGGTAAAGGGCCTCCGTCGTCAAGTTGTTGATTTGCGCGTCCACATTCATGATGTTGTGTTGCACAAAGTCCATCCTGTCCTCTGAAGTCTTCACCTTCTCCTCTGTCGTCGCGAATCGTTGCTCAAACTCGCTCAAGCGCTGGTGATCCGCCCGGAATTCGTATGCCTGGCTTTCTAGTACCTGGATTCTTTGAGAATCCCTGGCCTGGCTTTCGCTTGTTAACTTCGTTGACTCAGAGATTGCCTTGATGCTCTGATCGATCATTGACAGCTGCTCCTTCAATGCGTCGATTGTGATTTTGATTGAAGCCGAATCATCGGCTGCACGCGTTTTAGTCGGTGCATCCGCAGTCTTGGTTGGCTCTGAAGCATCATGTTCCAAACGACATGGACTCTGCCTCGAGACAGCCTCGAGCACCTTGATCCGTGTTTCGTAGTCCTTCAACTTGCCCTCGTACTGATCGACCTTGAAGTCATTACTTGGGGTCGACAGGCGGCTGGTTTCTGTACTACGACTCGACTTCTGGTCTGATCCTTTCTCGAGCGTCTTTACTTGAGTCCAGGCAGACGCGTCCGTCCGCAGCGGTAGCATTTGGCGCTCTACGATGTCGACTCGCTTCTTTACGTCCTCGATCCAAGTGCTAAATGTCTTGAAAACAGTGGTGTTCATCGATGTAAAGGTTCTGACCGCCAGGAACTTGTCGCCGTCTGGTGGGCGTGGTATATCCGAAGCAAGTTTCTCCATGCCCGACTGCAGCTGCGTCATTTCCGATTTTAATTGCTGAGCCTCTGTCTTGATGTGGTTAACGACACAATCAAATTTCTGAACATCTTTCTTGACGTGGTCCGTGTCGGATCTGAGCTGCTGGGTTTCCGTCTTCAGGTGCTCAATGTCAGACTTGATTGCGAGAGCGTCTTTCTTAAAGCACTCTGTTTCCGACTTCATTTGAGTTCTGAGGGACTCTACTCCGGACTTCAATTGGGCAGTCTCGGATCCGAGCTGCTCAGTACCTGCCTGGATCTTATCGATATCGGAACGTTGCTGCTGAATGTCTCGCTGCATGTCAGACCGCAACTGCTGCACACTAGATCGAATGACTTCTGCATCCAGTCCGAGCATCCTATGGTTTGACTGAAGCGTAATCACATCATCGGCAGCCTTCTTGACATTCTGTTCCAATCTCGGCAGCGTTGTCGCAATAGCACCACAACTGTCGCTAATGAGGTCGATATCCATCTCACCGAGCTTGTTGTCGTGCTCCGATACTTGAAGCTTTAAGAAGCTTAGTAGGTCTTCGTGCTGGGCCATGAGCGTCTTGATTGCCTCCATGTCCTCCGATGTTGTGCCCTTCTCTTTTGGAGGTGCACGAGGCGGCACGACATCCGGCTTTGGCTCTTGCAGCTGCTTGATGGATGTGTCGTGATCATCGGCCCTGGAACTCAGAGACTGATAATGGCCCTGCAGCTCTTGAACCTTCTTCTTCAGCGTCTCGTTCTCGACGCCAAGAGCCTTTCGCTTGGCACTCTCAAGCGAAAGGTTTTTACGAAGTTCCTCCATCTGTTTCTGCTGCTTCGCAGATGCTTCTTTATGTTGGTTCTCGAGCGCATCGAGGCGTGAGGTGAGCCGTGCCTCAAGTCCGTCCGGAGCACTAGGAGCAACGAGGCGGCGATCTTTGTCTTTCTGCTGCAGCTCAGTAAAAGCTTGAAGCAGAGTAGCAGCAAATGCCTCTGCCGAAGCCTGCCACTGTTGGTCCGCATCCTTCATCTCCTTCCCCAAACTATTTAGGTCGTCGATGTCTTTCTTCTCAAGCTTTCGATGGTAGTCTTTCAAGGAGGGAAATTCGGCATATTTGGCGTGCGATTGAGCATGCTCTTTCTCCCGAGCTTTGGCACGCGCCTCAACTACATCTTTCCGCAACCGAATTGCACCTTGTTCGTTACTTCGCCGAGTCAGTTGTCGTAAAGATGCGGTGATCTTGACCGTTGCTGTTGTATCGTTCGCGGATCGAGGGGTTGGTGGTGCTGAATGTGCTGGTGTCGTCGATGGCGCTGAGGGTTTCCATGGTGCTGATGCAACGGTTAGTATCGGCGCTTTAAAGTGAAGGACGTTCTACTCTTACATTGTTCTGACCCACGGTCGGATCGGGTATCTATTGAAATGCCCGACTTGCTCATGACTGGCGAGGAAAACGTCCTTGTGGGCGGGCCACGAGGAGGAGGGATGGTAGCTCGTGAAGCGGTGGACGGCGGTGGCCTGAACAAGTCTGTTTGTGTTCTCGGATGGTCGCGGTCAAGATCCTTCATCCTGTCTCTGTCCCTGTCTCTTTCCCTTCCCCGGTCCCGATCTCTATCCCAGCTTCTGTCTCTTTTTCTCTCTCTGGTCCGCCTGTCTGGCGAACTTGAGCGGGATAGCGACATGGATCGTGATGACCGAGACCCCGAACGGGATCGTGATCGGGAGCGACGGTAATATCGAGAATCACGGCCTAGGCGGTCTCTTTCGCCATCCCTGCGATCGTTGTAGTCGTAGCGACTACTGTAATGGCCGCTGTCTTCGGGACGTCGAAAGGATGCCGGCGACATGGTTGTGGTGGGCGAAGTGTGGACTCTCATTCGAAGGTCAATCTATGTTTGTCATCTCCTTTGCACGTGAGATCATGTCCAGGCCGCATACTCGAACAGTGCGTTGAAGGTGCGTTGAAGGGGTGCGCATAAGTAAGTAGGAAGGCAGGTAGGAAAAGTGTTTGCGTGTACGCAGGTGGCAGGCGGGTGAGGCAAGGAACGTAAGGGTCTTTGTTTGCAAGATGCCAGGTGGGGTGAGATGCCCAGAGGTTTAAGAGGGAAACCCTATGACGGGAAGGAGCGCGTCACCATCGATTACGTCGGCTCGCCTAGGGGTCTTATTGATAATAGGAAAGCTTTTGAGGTCGAGGTTCAAAAGG